GGAGGCAAGCTATTATGGAAGTGGATGCCACTCCTCCTTCCAAGCTTGTTTTAATCGGGGAGTTGCACCCCACTCTCTGTCTGCATTGTGTAGCCAACCATTAATGCATTTGACACATCAGTGTCACAGTGTTCAGCCTCTCAGCAATCAAAAGTGACCGCGGTATGGCAACTTGTACACCAGGGCTATACGACCTAGGGGAATGTCTGAACAAAACAATGAAAGACAGGCCCAAGGGCCGCAGATTAAAAGTCACCCACCTTTGGCTTGGTAGCATTGCTTTCTGTCCACTGGGCCAGCTGATCTCTCTCTCTCTGTGTTGATATTATTGTTGTTAAGTGCCGTCGAGTCGCAGGCGACTCATAATGACCCTAAGTAGTCCTTAGAACAGAGCAGGGAAACACTTCATGGTTCAAAATCAGGGAAAGGAATGTGTCGGGGATGCATCCTGTCCCCGTATCTTTTCAGTCTGTATAAAGAACAGATAGATAATTCGGGAAGCAGGGCTTTATGAGGAGGAGTGTGGCATCAAGATTGGAGAAAGACTCATCAACAGCCTACGATACACAGATGACACAACCTGGCTTGCTGAAACTGAGGAAGACCTGAAGTGCTTGCTGCAGAAGGTCAAAGACTGTAATCATCAATATAGATTGAAGCTCAGTATCAGGAAGACAGAAGTTCTCACCACTGAGCCAGTTGGCAGCACCATGATAGATGAAGAAGAGATTGAGGTTGCTAGCAATTACAGCTTGCTGGGCTCCACAATCAACACGCTTAACACCAGCAATCAGGTAATCAAAAGATGAATTACATTGGGAAAATCTGCTGTCATGGATCTCTCCACAGTGCTGAAAAGCAACTGTGTTAGTCTAGAGACAAAGGTGCTCCTAATACAGGCCATGGTCTTCTCAATTACTTGTTATGCTTCAGAGAGGTGAATAATGACTAAGGATGACAGAAGAAGAATAGATGCCTTCGAGTTGTGGTGCTGGAGAAGAGTCTTGGACATACCGTGAACTGTCAAGAAAATAGATTGGTCTCTCTTGGAGAGGGTAAAACCAAGTCTCCTTGGAGGCTAGGATTTTTTTTCTGTTTTTAATTTTATTTTATTAATTTTAATGAATATTTACAGAGATTAAGAGGCTTCATCTCACATACTTTGGACACATAGCCAGGAGAGACCAGTCCTTGGAGACGACATAATGCTTAGAAGGGTGCAGGGACAGCACAGGAGAAGAAAACCCCGGATGAGTTGGATTGATACAGTACCTGGGGCAATGGGGGTCAGCAAAACCTTGGGGAAGGGCTTTATGTTTAAAAGTTGGTTGTTATTATATTTTTGGAGGAATATTCTAAGTAGTACAGCACTCTTCTGTCAGAATGTTATACTGAGGTAACCTGTGTTTGCTGTGATGCTGAATCTTGGGCCATTGGGGTGTCAAATGCATTAACAGTTACCCATGATGAACAGTGTTTTGTGGAACTCCCAGTTTAAGACAGATTTGGAATCAGGTATGGCATCCACCTCCTAAAAACATGCCTCTGGAAACTGTATGAGCTTTGATATAATATAGATAGTTATATAAAGGCTTCAAGCAATTTAAAGGTTCATAGGATTGCTATGAGTCTTGCTTAACTCGATGGCAATCAACAACAACATAGTAATCTCTTATATAGCCATTTCATAATACGTTTATTAATAACTATTTGTATTCTTTTCATTTTCTATTAAAATGAATTAAGTGAATTCTGTATTCTGTTCAGAAAAATACTACTTAGTTTGCATTGGATTAGTTTAGAAAGTCTTGAAAAGCACATTGGAATCTCTGATTGAAAGTTTATTATTGCTTTGATTGACTTGTAGTTGAAAGTGCCTAATAAAGATTATATTTAATTTTAAAGTCTCAAGTAATGCTAATATAGGTTATTTGATTTTTATATTTTTTTGAAAGGGAGTATCTTTAAGAGGTTATTTAACTGATGGATTGTTAAGCTTTCAATTTTCAGGTGTTCATTAAAAGAATCATTTTATTCTTCTGCTTTTTAATATACAATATTTCTATTCCATTAATTCCATCAGTTTAGATTAGTCTTATCTTTACAGAGTAGTATGGAGTATAAATTTTAAAGGTATATCTTCATTTTCTTCTATTCTCACTGTCATCATTAAAATAACCATTTTTACTACAAGGACATTTTCCCTCTAAAATGCCCCGTTTGCTGTAACAGCAGGTCAAGTGATTCAGGTAAGCAACTATACAACTACTATAAAAAATTAAAAATGTTAGCAAAATATAAGTGGTTGTACATAGGGTCACTGTGAGTCGCAAGCGACTTGATGGCACATAACAACAACAACAATGATACTGCGGGTTTGTTTTTTTTTTTTTATTCTGGCTTTCACAGAGAATAAAGTAGAATGATTGTACATTCAATACAGATGTAAACTGCAGTGGAAAAATGACATAATGTATGGTACAGTGTTTGTCATCCTCGTATTCCTAGCTTTCATTGTACAGCTTATCATCAATATGCTCACTTAGGAGGAAAAATAAACAAGATTGTTATTTACTTGTTGGCTTCCCCTAATGTGTTCTCATTGAGTAGTTTGTAAAATGCTTAGGTGGTACATATGTGAATTTTTAGCGTCATTGGTCAGATTCTTTATGAAAACAGCATGTTATATAGATAATCACCCTGATTTTAGTAATCATTTCATCTTCTCTTTATAAAACTGGCAAAACCACGTGCTCTAGGAATTTCATGAATAAGATTTCCTGGCTGCCAGAATGAAAGTTAGAGATTATTTTCTGTTCTCAAGGTGCAAAGATAGAAGGTAGTTCTAATTAATGTAACTTCTTTTGATTTGCAGACAGTATGGTGGCTATGACTACTCGCAACAAGGCCGGTTTGTACCTCCAGACATGATGCAACCACAGCAACCATACACTGGGCAGATTTTCCAGCCAACCCAGACATATACCTCGACTACACCTCAGTCATACTATGGAAACAACTTTGAGGACGAGCCACCTTTATTAGAAGGTTGAACTAGTTAGTTGCTCTGTTATATAGCACTCTATAGTATTTAGATTGACAATGAAAACTATATATAACTTTCTTTAGAGGAATAATCTTGTATAAAAGAATTTTACTATTAAGTGGCCCATTTTGAACAATATGCATGAACCACATTGAACCACAGGGGATTTAAATTTTGATAAATAAAAAACCCCCAAACCTGTTGTCATTGATTTGGGTAATAGTGATCCTGTAGAATACAGTAGAACTGCCCCATAGAGTTCCTAAAGCTGTAAATCTTAGAAGCAGACTGCTACATCTTGTTCTCAAACATTGGTTCGTGGGTTTAAATTTCTAGGTTAGCACTTTACCACTATACTACCAGATTTTTTAGAATTTTAATTCATAAAAAACTCATCACTGTGGAGATTAAGCCTACTCATAGCTGACTTTAATGAGTTTCTGAGACTGTAAATCAACAAAAGAATAGATTGCCCATCTTTCTCTTTCAGAGCTTGTCTTGGGTTCAAACTGCTAGCAGTATGGCATTTCAGGCCATACATACTATAAAATGATAATATGTTAATATAATTCTATTGTTGTAAGCATAGAATTTTATTTTAAATTGCAGATTAGCTTCTACTGATTAAGAAACTGAAAGAAAATACCATGTCATTGATTCACTGTACATAGAAATCAGCAGAACTAGTGACATTGCTAATAAGTATAGTAGTTTTCACATTGTATCCTAGTAAACTGGAAAATTTTGGACCCATTAACCCTTTGAAAGCATAATGAAATCTATGGATAAATACTTAGAAAAATGCATATATGTGCTTGGAGATAGGATATGTATGCAATTCATGGGACCACTTAGTGCTTCTTAATCTGTTTAAGGGGGAAAAGAAAAAAAAACCCCAGAAACAACCAAACCCTCTTGCTATTAGCCCTGTGCCTATATTTTTTGCTATGCCTTCAGGGCTGAGAAATGTGTTCGATTTCTGTTTCATCATATATCTATGCCCTTTCTCCCACCAATCCTGAGATTGTATATCTGTACAATAAACTAGTACCAGTGAAAACTGGTATCAGGGACTTAACCAAGTATCTTCTGCAATTACTTTATTTACTTTCGGTGCTAATGGTCTCATTATATTTCTTGCTGCAATATAGATTATGACAAAAGTAAAAGTATGTTACAAATCCTCATGGATTTCTGTCTTCTCTATCCCCTTAGAGTTAGGTATCAATTTTGATCACATCTGGCAGAAAACACTTACGGTCTTACATCCACTAAAAGTAGCAGATGGCAGTATCATGAATGAGACCGATTTGGCAGGACCAATGGTTTTTTGCCTTGCATTTGGAGCCACTTTATTACTGGTAAGACTTTCATTTCAACTCTTGGGGTCTTTGTATATTTCACCAAAAGCCATTTTGTTACTTGGTATACCACAAGTTTCAAATGATATCCAGTGCTTCCATTTACAGCTATCCATTGCTTTTCCATTCTTAGTCAACAGCAGATATAGAAATAATTTATTCTTCCAGCAAGTGAACCTATTATGTATATGCTTTTGTTATGTACCACTCGTGGCTGACCCTCCAGAAGGTTTTAAGAGACAATTAATTGCACTAGAGGAGAGTACCCATCTTTCTGTCACAGAGCAGCTGGTGGATTCGAACTACTTTTCTTTGGAATGGCAGTGCAATTCCTTACCACTAGGCCACCAGAATAAGAAAAAATAATAATGTGTGACATGAATCTCTTATCAGAATTTCTCACTTCTTTTTAACCTACTGGTAGTTAGTTATTGTTGCAGTTATGAATTGTGGACCCCCACATGTTTTTTTGAAGTAGTAATGATTATTTTCCTATGTATTATTTTAATTTTCCATTAACTAAATCATTACAAGGCTAAAAGTTAAGTCTTTCTCCCCAGAATATTAAAATATGTCTTCAACTGGTAGATTTTTTCCTTTTAAAAAAAGAATTGTTAATACTTATCTATTAATTAAAAGAAATAAATAAGGACAGAAGATAGAATTTTTTAATAAGAAAAATGAAATTATTCCATTGCTCCTATTTCTGCCTTTGAACTTATGTTTTAATCTTTCAGCTCCCTCTTGTACACAGTTTCCTAGACTACCAACCAAACAGGTCTGCATTTGGAAATAAGAAAATTTCTATGCAAATATTTTTAAAAGATTGAAGCACTATTCAGTTGGAATTCTTGATGAGTATTATGAGTGAATTCATCAGTGATTTCAGCTTATTATTTTAAAATTAATTGCTCTTAATACACAGTGTCCAACTAAAATATTTCTACACTTGACATCTGTATTTCATGTGACAGAAATATGACAACTTTTTGAAGGCTTCTCTGTAGACTAGTTTTAGTAATAGTATGGCCTGAGTATAATGTTTTATGTTTCTTTATTCCAAGAAGTGTATCTTAATTTAGACTAAATTAGTTCCAGCCTTTATGGAGTCCTGTGATTTGTCAGTAATGTCTCTGAAAAGGAGAATTAATGTTTATTTGTGGGGGTTTGGTGTTCCTTTGACTTTTTTATTTTTTATTTTTTTTTTATAGTCAGCTATATAAATCACCAATTTGACAAAATAATGTTCCTCTTGCCTGGTTATTAATCAGTTTTGTCCTCTCTTCTGCTACAAAATCCCAGGTAAAAGCTTACCTAGCCTCCTTTCTTCTAGTTCCTTTAACATCTCTATAAAATGGATCAAGAAATGATTTCCACTGTTTAAAAGTTGACAGCTCTTTCTGCAAATAAGTATGAATTCTTTAGGTCCTTTCAAGTGAAATTAACCGTGCAATCAGCCACAGTTCTAGAAATCTGCTACTGTAGGTGATTGTGCCATTATAAAAATACACATGTTGGGAGGTGATTCTTTAAACTTCTTAAGACCATATAAGCCAATTATTCAGTCTTTTATTTCATCACATAGACTGTAAGTATCTTGATTCTAAATAGGTGCTTGTTAATTATTTATTTTCTACAGTGTCATTTTACATGAAATAATGCCAGATATGTTGTTTACTCTTTAACTTGTATTTCTTTCTTTACTTGTAGGCTGGCAAAATCCAGTTTGGCTATGTATATGGAATCAGTGCAATTGGTTGCCTGGGAATGTTTTGTTTGTTGAACTTAATGAGTATGACAGGTGTTTCATTTGGTTGTGTGGCAAGTGTCCTTGGATACTGTCTTCTTCCTATGATCCTGCTTTCCAGCTTTGCAGTAATATTTTCTTTGCAGTAAGTACTAGTCTTTATTTTGAGGGTTGATTTACCAGATCTCAATAATATGCTTCACTTCACTCTCAATATGAGATAAATGATTTAAGAAATTCCAGAAAACATAGTGCCTCCAGTAGGTGAGGATTATGCTAGGTATTTTTGGGTAAAATACAGTGGGAAGGGAGAGCCTCATGGGTTAGTCCTTAGAGAGTTTTGCTGTTATCCCAACGGTGGTACTTTTGGCAGTTTGAATCCCACCAATGATTCTCCTTCTATGGGATTTACAGTCTCCAAAAACTTGCCAGTGGGTCATCTATGACTCACTTCTGGCTTAATGGTAATGAGAACGCTTGAGTGAATGAGAACAAATATAAAAATCTTTCATTCCATCTCTTTCTGTCTGTGATACACAGACATTTTATATTGATGATATGTCACTAATTGTGTGTTTATTTACTACTGCCAAGCAGTAATGAATTAAAAACATTGATGACTGTTGCTAATTTAAATATTACATGGAAAAGATCAAGGTATTAGGCTATTAAAGTTTATTTGAGCCATCAAATGTTAGCATGAATTAAAAAAAATAAAATATGAATAAAAGTATGAATAAAAAGTAAATATTTGACAGCTTTTTAACTGCTTTGGAAAGAGTGGTTTTTGGCTGGAGGCTGTGCACATTTTTAAATAAGGTTAGATGAAAAGTAAAGGTGTGATTTTTTCTTTTAACTGATAGAAGCTTCTCCGTGTGCCTAGTGTGCAAATTCTCTCAACAGTTCAAGCTCCTCCTTGTGGCTAGCTTCAGATACTACAGTCTGGTTTTGTTACATGGGTGAGGAGTCCATTCCAACCCATAGGTTCAGAAGAAGAGCATACTTCAAGTATTTGATACTAGAAATTAGATTAATTCATAGCTTCATAGGATTCCTACCTTCAGTAGAAATGTTTTGGATTTTTAGTGTGTATAAGCTGGTTCTTTCTGCACATTTGTTGAGACTTGGTGTTTCTATAATTAGATTATACAGAGGAATCAGTTTCCAACTAAAACAGCTGAGAGCAATTTGGCCTCTCAGTGCATCTGACAGTGTCTGAACATAATTTTTTTGGTCACAATTGAAGAAGAATTATTAACGTCTAGTAAGTAGAGGCCAGAGATGCTGATAAACATCCTAACCATGCACAAAATAGAACCACAGCAAAGATTTTTTTAGTATAAAGGTGAAGAGTGTCAGTGTTGAAAAATTCTATACCAGAAGGAGTGAGATAAAATTAAAAATTAACTTATTAATCATACGGTGTAATTATCAACTTTGGTTTTGCTGTGTGGTACACTAAGCACTTGAAAAATACCTTGATGGTTATTACAGTGACTACATGTAAATTTTAAAATGCTTTTATTTTGGATAAGTTATCATTAGGAGGTTTCATAACAAGTGTTATACCTTTTTTTATTTCTTTTCTTTCTTTGTTGGCTACAGAGGAATGATAGGAATCATTCTCACTGCTGGAATTATTGGATGGTGTAGTTTTTCTGCTTCCAAAATTTTCATTTCTGCATTAGCCATGGAAGGACAGCAACTTCTAGTAGCATATCCTTGTGCTTTGTTATATGGAGTCTTTGCTCTAATTTCCATCTTTTGAACTGAATTTATCACGGATACGGACATCAGTGGGCCAAACTCACAAATAGTATCTTGAACTCTCAAGTTGGATCAGCAAACTGCGACATCACCACTCTCGTGCAGATTTAACATTCGACCATTGGATCGATGGAAGTAAACATATATCATTGGTTCATTTGTATAGAACTTTTGAATACATTATTGGGTTTATCAGCAGTGTGACTAGCTTTAAGTGTTCATGCTTATACAAATACGATGTGCTATTTCTTTAATATTTCTGCTGCCTTTAGAAAAACAGGTTTTTTTTTCTTGTCAACTATATTATGTTTTTGATAGCTTTTTATCAGCTGTGGGAGACTGACCACAGAGGTCTTGTAATCTTTCTTAAATCCCATCCTATAATAAAGGCGACAAAAGGTTTACTGCAGAAGTTTCCCCAGTACTTAGAAAAGAAAAAAAAATTGCCTGTTTGCTCTCAAAACAGGTATGCCATGTGCAAATAAATGATCCCAGTGTGGAGTTTTATGGTTTGCACTTCAAGACATTTCTTTAAATTATTTCATGACATTTCTGCTTAAATTCAGAGATATAAGAGGTTCACAATCTACCTAATTATAGACTGATATGAGAATGCCTATTTAGATGTTAACATTACCATGGTGACCTGGACTGGCTCAATAATTGGGTCTCCACATTTTTCAAGATAAAATAATTAACTTTTTGGGAGAACAATATTGAAAATGTTGGAATTACCAGTATTGCAGTTATCAATGTAAAGTCTATTTGATGTTTATTAATTAAAATTTTCCCACTTAATTTTAACGTGTTGTTGAATTTAATTTTGCTAAACCATAATTTTCTGTGTCTTTGTCTTGAGTCTGTTGTGGGCTTGCATTCCTAATATTCTGTGAGCTTTAAGAGGTGATGTTACCTGTTATTGAATCAGAAGGGGGAAAAAAATCACATGAGGAACTGTTTACTTTCAATTAAAATATTATTTCCTTGTACTAAATTTATTTGGTTTGTATTGTCATGCTGTCGGACCAGAGTATATAATGTAATCCTGTATATTAATCATTGTCTTTATCTGGAAAAATTCTACTGATTTTTTTTTCTTTTTTATAAACCTCAGTTGTAGTTAGTTATGAGTGATGAAAGGCAAGGAGAGTATTGCCATTTTTCCTTTTTTTTTTAAAGAAGAGAAATGTGTAACAAAATAAGAATGGCCAATCACTTATCATTAAATCTACTTCTCAAACACAAAAGAAAGATCTAGAAAACATTTTTACAAGGAGATTATAATTTCTAATCTCTGTTTTCACATAGAAATTATTTTATTTATTAATATTTAGTCTTTTGGAAGAATACACTGATTATGTTTAGAATGTATTGTCAGGCTTACCAGACTGCTTTGTTATTGTGAGGTGCTGTCCAGTCAGGTCGGCTTCATACAGACCCAGTGCACAACATAATGAAACATTGCCTGATCTTGGACCATTTCTCTGTTGATGCTGTGCTTTCAGTCCATTGTTGTCACTTTATCAATCTATCTAATTGAGAGTCTTAATAATTTTTTGCTGATCTTATATTTTAAACCAAGTAAGATGTCTTTCTCCAGGGACTGGTCCTTTGTGCTAACTTGCCCAAAGAATTTGAGATAAAGTTTCACCCAATTTGTCGCTAAGTAATATTCTGGTCTGCTTCTTCCAGACAGATTGTTTGTTCTTTTCACAGTCCATGGGATATATATTCAGGATTTTTATTTTATTTTCTTTAACATTATGTGTACTTTTGAAATCAATTTATAAATACAACCACAATTCTTGTTGTGATAAGTGTAGTGATTTAAAAAGCTTGCTGTTGAGTCAAAACTGATTCATAGCTGATTCTCATATGGGTTTTCAGAGGCTGTAAACCACATAGGAAGAGATTGCCCATCTTTCTTCCACACAACAGATTAAAACCTCTCCCTTTTGAGTTGGCAGTACAACTTCCTACCCACTAGACCATACTATAATGATTAAGTTCTATTAGTACTCATTTTTCCCTAATGAGTAAATGGTTAAAAAAGTTTTGAGAATGTAATTTTCCTTCTGTAGTATTGAAACTATTATTTTCAGTCAGATTGCCAAGTGGATAAAATTTTGTTATTTTGCTCAATATTTTTTTCATTCAAGTCATAATTGATAAAATTGGCAAAAATTATAGTTATTTTTAATGTAAATTCAAAATAATAGATCTAAAACTGTATTTGTTGTTGTGCATTGAGTTGCTTGCAACTCACAGTGACCCTATGTACAATAGCTCTGAACTCTGCTCTATCCTGAGCCAGTCTCACTGTCTCCAACACACCTACCCCCATTACTCTGATTACTGTGTCAATCCATCTCATCTGAGGTCTTCCTCTCCTGTGCTGTTTCTCCACCCTTTCCAAGCATGATGTCTTTCTCAAAGGACTGATCTTCCTGGCCATGTGCCCAGAGTGTATGAGATAGAGCTTCAAAATCCTTGCCTCCAAACCAGCAGCCTGTTTTCACCCTTTTCAGTACAGCTCTGTTCTCTTGGGAGTCCATGGTATGTTCAGTACTCTTTTCCAGCACCACACTCAAAGGCATCTATTCTTTCATCATCCTTAGTCATTGTCCAGTTCTCTAATGTATAACAAGTAATTGCAAAGACCATGGCTTCAATCAGGCATACCTTAGTCTTTAGACTGACATCACTGCTCCTCAGTATTCTAGAGAGGTCCCTGGCAGCAGTCTTTCCCTGTACAATTAATCCTTTGATTTCCTGGCTGTTGGTACCAAGAGTTGATTGTGGAGCCAGGAAAGCTAGAGCTGTTAACAATCTCCATCTCTCATGATCCAGCCAATTGGCCCATTGGTGAGAATCTTTGTTTTCTTGATATTACACATCAATCCATATTGCAGACTACAGTCTTTGACCATCTACAGCAAATACTTTTAGGTCTTCCTCAGTATCAACAGGTGAGGTGGTGTAATTTGGTTAGCACAGGTTGTTGATGGGTCTTCCTCCAATTCTGATGCTCCATTTCACCTCTTAAAGTCCAGCCTCCCAAATGATCTGTGCCACATATAAGTTGAAAAGTTAATGGTGATAGGGTGCATCCCTGCCATACAACTTTTCTGATCTTGAACCTCTATTCTGAGGACTGCTTTTTGGTCCAAGTATGGGTTTCCCATAAGCACAATTAAGTGTTCTAAGATTCCTGTTAAGGTTAGTCAATTTGTTGGGATCCGCAAAATCTAATCCCTTTACATAGTCAATGAAACACAGACATTCCTCTGGTACTCTGCTTTCATCTAAGATCCATCTGACAAGGACTTTAAAGTCCATAGTGCCACAGCCTCTTCTAAACTCCACTTGCACATCTGGCAGTTCTTTGTCAATATACTGTTCAAATCATTTTTGGATAGTGTTCAGTAGGTTCTTGCTTGTGTGGGATGTTACTCATATTGTTAGATAATTTCCACTCTTGTCAGATCACCTTTTTTTTTTTGAATGGGAGTAAACATGGATCTCTTCGTCAGTTGGCCAGGTGGTTTTCCTCCAGATTTCTTGGCACAACCTAGTGAGCATGTCTTTTGGTTAAAATGGGTCAGTTGGTATTCCATCTATACTTGGGGCCTTATTTTTTGCCAATTCCTTCAAAACAGTTTCAACTTCTTCCATCACCATTGCCTCTTGATCATATGCTGTTTCATGAAATTCTATGTCAACTAATTGTTTTTTCTACAATGACTTTGTGTACTTTTCCCATCTCAATGCTTACTAGATCATTGAACGCCCATAGCATCCTTAAGTATTGTGACTGACAACTTGAATTTGTTCTTCAGTTACTTCAGATTAAGAAATGTCAAGTGAGTTCATCCCTTTTAATTTTCCAACTATAGCTCATTGCATATTTCATTATAATACTTTTTGTTTTGTCTTTCCAAGCTGCTCTTTGAAATCTTTTATTCAGCTCCCTAACTTCTTGATCTCTTCTCTTCCCTCTGCTTTGACTTCTTGATGCTCTAGTGCAATATTCAGAGTCTTTTCTGACATCCATCTTAGTCTTCTTCCTCTCTAGTGACCTTTTACTTTCTTTGTGGATGACATTCTATTATTATACTAGTTTATTTACAAAATTTGAATACATTGTTTTTCATGCCAGTTCTTTCCCATTTCCCTAAACCCTCCTCCAAATTGTGCAGCCTGATGATTAATACCACCCTACCCCACCCCACCCCATACGTCCTCACCCCTCTGCTTCCACCCCCCCCCCTTGGATCCTCATACTCATTCTACAATAATGGTTTTATACAGTATTTATCCTTGTGGAACTGAGTTAGTCCACTCAGCATAACATAATACTTTCCAGTTCCTCCCAAATTAGGTAATAATTTACAAAATTATTGCTCCTGTGTGCTCTATAGTATTCTGTTGAGTGAATGCACCATAATTTCTCAATCCATTCTGTTGTGTTTGGACATCTGGACTGTTTTCTTGGTGTATATCAATGGAATAGCTAGGTCACATGGAATTTCTCTCTGCAGCTTTTTGAGGAAGCACTAAACTGCTTTCCAGAGTGTTTGTACCATTGTACAAATCCCACTAAAAATGTTTGAGTTCCTATCTTGCCAAATCATCTCCAACATTTATTACTTGCTGCCCATTAAACTTTGCACTTTTGATTTGCATCCCTCTTACCGCCATTGATTTTGAATATTTCTTCATGTGTCTCTTAGCCTTTCAAATATCTTCTGTGAAAATTCCATTTCTTTTGCCCATTTTGTAATTGGGTTATCAGCCTTTTTCTTATAGAGGCCTGGAACTATTCTGTAAACTCATCATGAGGTTCTTGTCTGAGTTGGTACTGCCAAATAATTGTTCCTAGTCACTAGATTTTCTTTTTACCCTGTTGGAAAAAGGTTTTGATGTGCATAGGGATCTTCAAGACCCAATAAAAGACCTAAAGAAATGGAAAAATTTGCCCTGTTCATGTATAGGAAGACTCAATATTTGTGAAAATGACAATTGCACAATCTACATGTTCAGTGCAATCCCAATCCAGATACCAAGTTCATTTTTCAAGGAAATTGAAAGGGAAATTGTTACGTTCATCTGGAGAGGCAAGAGACCCCAAATAAGCTAAACTTTTCTGAGAAACAAAAATGAAGTGGGAGGCATAGCACTCCCTGACTCACCCATGTTTATTGCGGATTTGTTTACAATAGCAAAGATTTGGAAACAACCCAAGTGCCCATCAACAAACAAATGGATAAAGAAGCTGTGGTATAATCACACAATGGAATACTATGCTGCATTGAAAAACAAGGAACTCATGAAATATACAAAATGGGCAACCCTGGAGGACATTATGGTGAGTGAAATACCTCAGTCACAAAAGAACA